GTCGGCTGCATGCAAAATATTACCGACAACAGCCAATAAGGACTTCGGGATGGCGACTACGTACAAGAAAAATCAAGAATAAATAATACCCCAGCGGAATAAAGCAATGTAATGTCTTAGTCAGGGCCGAGTTGGTATAGCCGTGTATTAAGATAATACATAGCAACTTCCAACTGAGGCAATTTACCCCTTGGATGTGGCTTCTACAATGCGATGAGTTAAATTCTGTAAAAAGCAACAGCTTGCTTTACACTTTACGACAGAATGATTATACATATAAACGAAAATTGCTTGTTGCCGACAAAATTGCTTATCATGCTTTCGCTTTGGCATCCCTTACTACATTGAACGAGTGATCTTTCGAGTGGATGTCCTTTCATTAAAAAAAACTATCAAACTATAATAAAAAAGGCGCAGCTTACGCTGCGATTTTTAAGTTTCTCGTTTCCTCTATTACGTCGCCACGTTTGTCTAAAACAGCTAAGTAGCGACCGCAAATTCAAACAGGTGCAATTTATGATTCGACAGATATTCAAAGCAGAAGCTAGCAACATTGGAATTAACAAATGACCTCAAAGACGCATGCCTCTCAAAGTCTGTAAGGATGAGATTTTGTTATTTTAGGAACAAGATTGTCGGTTGCAGGAGCAATTACTTCAACTTTGTTGCTACCTTGTGAATCCAGTCCACAAGCAAAGGAAACAAAGCGGATACACTATCGTTGATGAGACCCAAAAAAAATTGCTCAGCCTGCTCATCCGTCAAATCTAAACGAAATTTTTCCTCCACCTTGAGCAAAGTAGTGGCAGGATTTGCCGACAGTTCTTCAATTCCAGAGTCAGCCATCAGACTAAGTAAGTTAAGAATGAGATCCGCACTTTTGCGAAGCCAATTATACGCTTGGCAGCAGTATGTTATAAACCTCTGGTAGTGCTCACTAGTTGGGCCGCCCATGCCTTCCACCATTTCCTTTGTCAACTTGAACGGAGGTGGGTACGGTTTTGGATCTGCACCGAAGACAAACCCAAAATCAATATGAAACATGTGTCCTTCGGCTTTCATCATCAAGTTGTCCAAATGACGATCGCCAATGCCAAGCAAATACGTGAGCACGCAATAACCAGCCACGGATTTTACGTACGTGCTCAGAGCTTCAGGTGCAATGCCAAACTCGGCACTAGGATCTGGGTTGTGTTTTTTCAAAAAGCCAATTATCTGGGGCGACTCAAAATGTGAAACCACATACGAAACCGGATACGAATCTTGTACGAATTCCATTAGCCCGTCGTTGGCACCTGTCGCCAAGATGCGATATGGTGTTAGCTTCAAGTCCAGATTAACTTTCTTGAGTAGCCGGTCCATGAGGATGAACATTTGCATGATCAGTTGATCCTGACGAAGATCGTCCCCATTTTTGACCATAAACTTGTACATTGGACCTTCCTTACCGCGGTGCAAATAACTGATCATTCGAGTCGGTAATGACTCTCGCATAATACTTCCATCGCTAGTGCCAAACATTGACTGACTTAAAGCCGTCGCATGATGATTTAACGCTGAAGAGTGATGATTCTCCCCTTCAGTCGTGGATGGGTGGTGAAACTGGTCACTTGGCGAAATTACAGTTTGAAACTGAATCACAGCTGGATACATCGCACTTTTAAACATTTTTGCAGAAGATGCAACAACGCCGCTCAAGAGAATGGTCGGATCCAACGGCAAGGAGATCACAGCACCTTTGGGCCATGGAAACTGTTTCAGAAATTGTCGCAGCTTCTCTTCTTTTTGATCCTTCCTCCCCTTTTCTTCACGAGCTTTGTTGTGAATCGTCAAGATGTGGCTCATAAAATCGCGTTGAGCCATCAACATATCGTACACAGCTTTCTTTTCTTCATCCCGCTTCATCTCCGTTAGCATTTGATTGAGAACAGTACTAAAAATTTCCGAGTCGTTAGTTTGGTCGCCGGCTTCTACCTTAAGATACCAATAAAAGTAATTAGCCATTTGAAAATTTGTACTCGAGCGAGCTATTAGAAATTGAGCCAATGGACCCAATTCACTCGATGTTCCGTCTACACTTCCGTTTTCATCCGTGTTCATTCCCCTTCGAGAAGATGCAATTGGAGCCCCCGGTTTCTCATACCGTAAAGCCTGAACCAATTGTAGCAGAAAATCAAGCAGATCCTCATTTTTGGCCGTGGCTAAGGTTGACACTGCAAAATGTCGCACAATCTCGTGTTTGAATTCCTTTTCCCGCCCCAAAAGCTTTAGCGCGTCTGCTATATCAATCTCACACCATTGAGAGAGCAGATCTGTGGCTTGTTTTACTTCTAATTCATCTTTCCAGTCCACCGAGAGTAAGAATTTGACAACTGCTTTCTTGTTGTCCGTCAAAGTGTATCGAAACTTCCATAGCAAGTCCTTGTCTTCATTTTTTAGATTGTCAGTTGGTGTAGCCAATAAAAGCTCAATTCGGGCCTTTTCATCCCGACTGGGCTTAAGATTCGGGTCGATTGATCCGCGCAAGATGTCACGAGCAAGACGGCGATACTTGCGCTCAGCCGGGTTGTCTTCATTAAGATCGGGATCCCATACAGTAACAAGACTTGGTAACTCTCTGGAGGTAGACGGCGTTGTTGCAGTCGCAAGATCATACGATCCACTAAGCGTATGGGTGTCGTACGAAGAATTTGAAGACGAAACAGTATTAGTGTCGTATTTCGTTCGTCTTGGAACAACGTCGGCAGTATAAGATGACGTCAAGTTGCGTTGAGAGTACGGTTCCTCTTCATAAACAACAACATCTCCAAAATACGGCATCTCAAGCCACAATAAAGCTTCTTCCCTATACGAGCAGAAGGGGCCTAGTGCATCTTTTCGTGTCGGCGGTTCGCTACCCCTTCGGATGCGTGCAATACGTCGGTCTGTAACACTGTCCATCCACTCGTTGCGTGCGATTTCCTTGCGTTCATACTTCTCACGAAGCTTGTCAAGACGAAAACATTCCTGTCGTACCCATTCTTCATCAATTTCCGACGGCGTCCTGGTGGTAGGAGATGAGTCGGCTTCGCGACCTTCCCAGATGCGAAGGCACTGTACGCCATCGCGTAAAACACCTTGTTTCGTGAAAAATGAGATAGTGGAGCCTCCGACAGGTACCCAATCTACGCCCCAGATAGTTATAGCGAGCAATGAATTGCGGGATAAATCGCGGTATCGAACAGGAAAGGATATCCATTCGTTCCAGTAGATAGTTGAATTGCTGCATTTTGTAGGGCTCTTAGAGCTATAGTGGCAAGAGCGGATGTGTTTAGATTTGCAAAGGGTTTTAGTGAGATGTATATATTACGTACCTGATGACCATAGGGTGTAAAGGAAGTCCATCGGAGAAGATCTGGGCAGTCAAAAAGATCTCGCTAACAGGTGAGTTGCGCATCTCTGACGACGTGCCAGATAATTGTTCAAGCCCTACAAATGGCGAAATTAAATCTGCACGCTTGGATGCCTCGCTGCTGACAGAGCATCCAAGCGCTGGAGCAAGCTCTACGAGAGAGATTTTTACGGTGATGCCTGTACTCACGCCGCTACTGAGGTAGTAGCGATACTCCTTTAACCGGCTAGCCATTTTGAGCAATTCGTTTTAAAATTCATCATTATCCATTTATAATGTATACCACATGAAAACAAAGAGCGACTATCTGAACATTCTGACGCAAAATACAGAAATCTCTGGTGTTTACTGGACTGAACTAGCCATGTAAACGTACCACCTCAGTGGAAGAGGAATGCTTGCTTGCCCGCAATAAGCATTGAGAAATCTTAAGAGACTAGCATATGGTGAGGTATAAATTATGGTGATTTAGTACTAAGAGCACTTGACGATTCCTTAAAATGGTACAGGATTTAGAGCTCAAGCTTACGACTCAACAATGAACTCCAGATCATAACCTCTCAGGCTAATTGATTTCGTACGATTGAAATATTCTGGCTTGCGATCGGTGTATTTCGTTGATATTAATGATGGTTTTGCTAGAAGTCCAAACCAATATTGATATTAAAGTAACAAAAGTGTGAAATGCCTCAAGCTTGTGCAGTTGAAAGTCGCTATAGGGGCGCCTCGCTGTCGACTTGCATGGCATAATCGGTGGCTCGTTTACTCAATTCCGTTCCGCCCTGCCACCATCTCGGTGAAAACGTAGTCAGGCCGAATTCTAAAAAGAAACAGCAGAGATATCTGATCAGCGGCACGATCAATCTGTTCCTGACGAAACTTTGTAAACCCACTTTATTATTCGTCTGACTGTATATATTCAGTGTGCGAATATAGCTCTAGCAAAACTCGCATATATATATTATAGCTCTAGCAAAACTTGCTTTTGGAGTCGACGTTCTCTTTGGCTTTTCTCTGTGGATATCGGTAAGCTTGAGCAAATTTACAATTTAAATTTCAAACTGTCGTTTGGTCGTAACCGAAATTGAGAAATTTTCGCTCACAGACATGTTGGATCTAGCTTGCGCGAGAAGAGATGACTTTTTGAATGCATAAGATGGTGGCAACCGTGTTTTTACCACTCAGACCAAATTATAGTTGGTCATGTTAGCCAGCCGAATTTAATTGCTCTATAATGTTTGGAGCTAAAATTGCAGCCCATATCGCTTCATACGAGAGGGCGCAACATAGATATCCCAATTTTTACTACCACTAACACCAAAGTCTGTTAAAAATACGAGAATACTCATTGTTAGCTTCAATTTCAGCCGTTACGACCGCACGACAGCTGACGAGGGGGCGAAGTTGGGATAAACGAGCCTAGTTGGCTTTTCTCTGGGTTACGATGCGCACTTAAAGTTTGTATGCTATCCCTCACTACAAAGAGGCCCAGAACGCGCCTCAGTTTGGCGGCCGACTCGACTCGTATACACGCGTGCAGTAGAAGGCAGCGAGCAAGAGAAAGAGATTCTTTTCTCTTAAGCAATACTTATTGTCCGTCAGGCCGAATCGCCCTTCACCTACAGTGTTCGTTACGCAACAGAAGCACAACGCCCAACGCTCTTCGACATAAGCCTTCAGGTCCTGTGCGCACACAACCCCCCCCAAACAATTACTGTTCCCCGCCTATACCTCGTCCTTTTATTCTTCGTGATTCGAAGAAGTTAGAACGAGATTGCAGCATGTCACGCAAAGGACTTAAGGGTAGCAGCACAATCGGTGGCAACGACGTGCTGACCATAGACCAGCTGCGCCACCAAGACGACTGGGTGCTCGACACGGAGCGATACAGATGCCACGTGTGCACGCGGAATTTTACGCGTTTTCGACGAAAGCACCATTGTCGCAAGGTACATTTTTTGCATTGTACTATTAAGTATTCGACTTAATCTGCTCACTTCCTTTATTGCGTCGTCATGACCACTGTAGTGCGGAGAGGTAGTTTGCGGGAACTGCACGCTGAAAAAGGAAGCCGAGCTACCTGTAATTGGTCGTTCCCTGGTTCGTGTATGCATGTCTTGCATCCTTTCGCACGCCAACGGCCAGGCGAACCCGCAAGCGCCACCGGTCCCCACTTCTGGTACAACTTCCTCGCCACCGCCGCGAGAGGAGCATTGGGAGGCGCAGAATTTTCATTCACCCACTGGCAACTCAGAGGGTGATCTCTCCCATTTCACTCGAGACTTTCAGCAACCAGAATTCGACTACCCGCTCGACTTGAGCTGGGATCACCCATGGCCAAAGCCTCCGATTGTTCCTGCTGAATCTGATCGTCTCGAAGTTTTGCGTAGCTTCGATATAATGGACACGCCAAGTGAAGATGTGTTTGATATTATCTGTGATTTGGCTAGCAACGCTTTAAAGAGTCCTATTGCAGCAGTTAGTCTACTTGACGAAGATCGTGAGTGGTTCAAGGCGAGTGTGGGATTGGCGCAGAATGAAGTCCCGCGCTCGGTGTCTTTTTGTGCGCACGCAATCATGTCTAAGGAGCCAATGGTCGTAATGGATACTCTTTTAGACAAGCGATTTTCTAAAAACCCGCTGGTAACGGGCGCTGCCAAAATTCGTTTCTATGCCGGCGCGCCAATATGCACGCCTTCAGGTCACCTTCTAGGTACGGTGTTTGTATTTGATACACAACCACGCAATACATGTGATATCGCGACCCTGGAAAAACTGTCAAATGTGGCGATGAAAAATCTAGAAGATCGAAAGAATGCTGTGGCCGCACCGCTTGATAATGGCGAGACTGTAGAGGTTGTGAAGAGTGATGATCATCAAGTAGATGGTATCAAACGCGCCACTGAGCCCCTTCGAGAATCGGGATTTGGAGTGGCAAATCAGGTGGTAGCTCAACCTGTCTCTAGTGCGTCACAGGATCTTGTCGCAGCTAATGTCGGCGATGGGCAGGTATCGGCAGGTCCAAAGATGGAGACGATGCTGATGGATCTACTGTGTCGTACTACAGAAACCCAGCAACAGCTAGCAACACAGCAGGGAGCAATGTTTCACACATTAGGTCAACACACTGCTGATATCGACAAGCTGGCAACTGCAATGGCGCGGATGGAGGCAAAATTAGACGCGATGGTCGAATAATACGATAAGATTTGCTATGCATGCCGCGAATTGCAGCGGCAGTGTCTCGACGTAGCGCAGTGCAAGATATTGAAAACGTTACGTTTTATGCGGATGGTGAAAATGATAAGACAAAAAATCCCTCGCTTGCTTTCGTTTGTCGTACTTTCAATTGTAACTAGAAGATATTATTGAAATCGCTGAAGTGGTAAGAAGCACGTATATACATACATTTGCTCACGTCTATGACCTGTAAAAGTTTTCTGTTGCATTGGAGTACGTATTATCTGAAACACTACACAAACATATTTGACCGAGAAATTTACTTTTCGCAAATTTGAGACTCGTTAGCAATATATATTTCTTGATACCAGGACAGGATCCGACTAAAACGCGGCGCAGTAACTGATTACAGACACAAGAGACAATACTTTCCACACGAACTATCTACAGAGTTTTCGTTATGATAAGGTCTTATTCCCTAAGGACATACCGAGAGGTAAGATAAGAGTGTGACAATTAAAAATCTGTTTTGGAAGCCCACTAGTCGTTAAGACATACCCACTCTCATATAGATTGTCATTTTTTTATCAAGCATAACCGGTAACTGTGTGTGTCACTGTCGCCTTCATTAATGACGATGGATGATGGATGACCCATGCGCGGCGCTGAAATTTTCCTTTTTTCGCGCCATACAGCCATAAGCCAATATCAGGTTAGGGAAGATACGGAGTCGTATGGAGTGGCCACGGGGGTCACTCAAGAAGTGTGTCGATAGATCAAGTAATGCCTGGAACTGGCGATTTGGTCACGAATGAATCGTTGGTGAGCATGGTGATTTGCCTAACGGAAAGAAATAATGAGGGAAATACCAATTGTTGCCCCCTTTAAGACATAAACATTCTGTAGACATGCGAGTAATCGAAAGTCGAACGAATCGACCTGGGTTGGGTGTGTCAATACTCACACTAAAACAGTGGTTAAGACGGATTGTGAGTCAGATGGTACATGCAGCGGGGCTGCCGTAGCTTTGCGCTTAGAGGAAGCGTAAATTAGGTCACCGACCTTTCGTTCTATACTTAGAGCAATTACGAGTTTTGCGGATCGCAATCCGCTTACTTCAAGAGTAATTACAACCTTAACCAAAAAATTAACGCTTTCCTTTAAATCAGAAACTGACTTTATTTATTTTTATCTGCGGCAAAGCCGCCTAATTTTAAATGCAGAGATTTTGCTAAATCTGTATAGTAAAATCTAAATACATGTATTACTACTGGCTATCAAGCCCCGTACAGTATTCTTGTTTGGGTGTGGTCACACCATGCCCATCTGGTGTGACACTCACCCCTGTTACCAGCGTATGTGTAACCCCGTTACAGCACGACTAGCCACAATGCTGATGCTCCCACTTATTTTGTGGTTGAGCACACACATGTGAAGATTTTTTTTCGCGGTGTTGATACTTTCGCTTAGGATGCATTTGAGTCCGCGGATGATTTAATTGAGCGTACTTCTCCCCGTGATGAAAATATAGCATGCAATATGCTGGTCTACGTATTGTGGATGCAACGACTGGGTGTGAGATAACACGAATAGATGTTCTTTTGGCACCGTTGCCGACGAAAGATGAGCTGATGCATCTCGAGGTAGTCACTTACGATGACTTCCCACACGACCTCAAGTTTGATGATATTGCCGAGGTCGTGTTGCTACGGTCAAAGGTCAACTCAGCGGAACTTCGCTCATCATCAGTTATGGATGGTCCGGCTCTCGAAGAACACCGACAGCGTGTGAAATCACGCGGAGGATCGGCCATTTTAAAGAATCCAACCGATCCTGATTCACTTGTTGGAATATAAGGATGACGTCCATAGTGCGATCCTGCCCTCTGGATTTCCACCCAGACGTGGAGTTCTACACGAAATCGATTATGAACCTGGTTTAAAGTATTCGATGCTTCGACAGTGACCAC